GGAGCCATCCTGAAACTGTTTTCTTCCTTGAAGGCGTCTGGAGAGGATCTCGATGGCCGAGCTGCAGCCCCTGGCCGATGAGCTGACCTGCTCCATCTGCCTGGAGATCTTCCAGCAGCCCGTGACTACCCCGTGCGGCCACAACTTTTGCTTGCCCTGCCTGGACAAGACGTGGACCGGCCAGAGCTTCCAATTCTACTGCCCCCAGTGCCGAGAACCCTTCCAGAAGAGGCCACAGCTGAAGAAGAACACGGTGCTGTGCGCACTGGTGGAACAGCTACAGCAAGTTAAGATCCACAGGGATTTGGGGCAGCCCCACAGTGCGTCCCAAGATGGCGAGCCCTTGGACCCGCAGTCGAGGAAGGGGGACCAGGAGAAGGATGAGGCGGTTGGGATCGTGGCCTGTGACTACTGTTTACAGACTCCTGCGGCCAAGACGTGCTTCACCTGCATGGCGTCCTTCTGCCAGGAGCACCTGCGTCCGCATCTGGACAACCCCACGTTCCACGGCCACGAGCTGCAATCGCCCGTCGGGGACCTGGCCCGTCGCAAGTGCCCTGAGCACGGCCGCTTGCGGGAGTTCTTCTGCTCTCAGCACGGCGTCAGCATCTGCTGCATCTGCCTGGTGGGGCACAAGACCTGCTCCCCGGTGGCCCTGGACGTGGCCAGGACCGAGCTGAAGGTGGGCAGAGGGGGAGGGGGGACAGGCACGGCGGGGGAGGTCCTGGGCTGAGTAGCGGCTCCGTGGAAGCCTGACCCCGGGCTCCAGCCTCAGGCCCTTGCGGGAAGCTGGTAGCAATGCCCGGCTTAGCTTCAATTTCCCCATGCCAGGATTAGTTTCTCTTCCCTGGAGTTTCGGACTTTCAAGGGGAAGACCCTGTAGTTGAGCCAAGAAACAGGTTAGGGGGCTTGTGAATGTGGGCGAGAGAGGCTCAAGAATCTCGGGGCACCTATTCTCTGTAGACGCCAGGCTGGGCAAAGGTGTTTGGGTCCCTTTTCTATGTGAGCCTGTTAATTTCTTGGTCTGTAGAAAGATGCGAAGTAATCCTGTCCCGTACCCAGACTTGTTAGGAGGAAAAGCGACAGTCAAAGCGAGAGGGCTTGCTTGCAGAGTAGTTCTTTGGGGTTCAAGCCCTGCCTCCTATATAGTGGCCGTATGACCCTGGGCAAGTCTCTTAACCCCCTCACTGCCCCAGGTAACTTATAAATTACAGAGTTCATGCTGTTTTGCTTTGATCGAGGGAGATTCCTTCTCCAGAATTCTCTCAGAGAGGTGCTGGGTGGATCCCGAGGTCTCTCCCTATCTATGAGGCAGTATTGCTAAACTCGGGAAATCTGGGAAATCGAAGGCCCCAAAATTATTTTAAAACGTATGATGGGGGAGTGACGAAAAGGTCTTCTTTCAGTTTCCTTGAGACCCTGATTGAAGTGACTGCCCTAAAATCATGAAGCTGGGATGAGAGGGTCATAGATCTTAGCAGATCAGGAACTGAGGTCAAAGTACTTGACCAGGGTGACACAAGTAGTAAATGTTTGAGGAGGGATTTGAACCCAGAACCTCTTACTTTGAAGCCAAAGCTCTTTCTCCTGTTGCTTTCAATTTTCTCACTTGTAAAATGAGGGGGTTAGCTTAGGTGATCTCTAAGGCTCCTTCCAGCTCTAAATCCTATGATCAGAAATACAGGGTCCACCAGTCCTACTGTCAGTCTCTCTGTCTTTCTGTTTCTACCTCTCTGTCTCACACTCTGTTTCTGTCTCTCTGTCTCTTCCTCTATCTCTCTGTCTCTCTGTGTCTCTTTTCTCTTTCTACCGGGCCAAAAAATGCCTTAAAGTTTCTCTCTCTCTCTCTCTTTTTTTTTACATTATCTGTTGTATCTTCCGGTAAAAATATATGCTCCTTGACAGCAGGAACTCTTTTTTTGTTGTTTTTCTTTGTATGTGAACCTCCTAGGATATATATATAGTAGTAGGGATCTAATAAATTCTTGAGTTGAAGGATGATTAGGTCTTTGAAGCCCAAGGCATTTTTGTAAACATTCTTTGAGAATTATGAACTCGTCACCATCTTCTCTCCCTTTTTTCTTTTCAAAAATATTTTACTCTTTTCACATTCATTTTTAAAATTTTTAGTTCTAAAATCTCTTCCTCCTTCCAGCCTCTTTGAAACCCATTGAGAAGGCATGCAACAATACTCATTATACTTGTGAAATCATGCAAAGCATACCTTTTTCTTTTTAGTGATGAAAATTGGTTCCTCCACACACATTCCTTTTTCCTTAATCTGAATCTTCTTGGGGTTTTGAGGAGATTTTTGGTGACTGCATTTTAAAAAAATAATATTTTATTTTTCTCCCAGTTATACGTAAAGATAGTTTTTAACATTTGTTGTTTTTTTTTAAATTGAGTTCCTAATTTTCTCTCTTCCTTCCTCACCTCCCTCTTCCCTGAGTTGGTAAGCAATTTGATGTAGGTTATACATGTTCAGTCCTGCAAAACATATTACCGTATTAGTCATGTTGTGAAAGAAGACACAGACCCAAAGGGGAAAAAAAAAAACACAAAAAATACAGAAAAGTGAAAAATAGTATGCTTGCATCTGCATTTAGAATCAATCAGTTCTTTCTCTGCAGGTGAATAACATTTTTCATCACGAGTCCTTTGGAATTGTCTTGGATCATTGTATTGCTGAAAATAACCAACTCATTCATAGCTGATCATTGTACAGTATTGCTATTACCATGTACAATGTTCTCCTGGTTCTGCTCAATTCACTTTGCATCAATTCATACAAGTCTTAACAGGTTTTTCTGAAATCAGCCTGCTCATCATGTCTTACAACACAGTAACATTCCATTATACCATATACCGCAACTTGTTCAGCCATTTCCCAATTGATGGGCATCCCCTCAATTTCCAATTCTTTGCCACTGCAAAAAGTCATTGCGTTTAAAAATTTTGAATTCCAAATTCTCTCCCTTCCTTTCTTCCTTTCCCTCTCTTTGAGAAGGCAGGCTATTTGATGTAGATTAGACATATGTAGGTTATGCTGCCAAAGAAAACACAGACAAAAAAAGTAATCTGTAAAATAAAGGAGATTCGATGTTCTCTAAAGTTGCTTCCAGCTCTAATATTCTAACTGTGATGTGTCCAAGGTAACAGAGCAAGTTAGTAGCAGACCACCTCTGTGTACAACATTCTGTCTTCTCAAGTCCCTGACCACATGGCCTCTGAGTTCCCTTCTAGCTCTGTGGTTCTGTGATTTCCTCTTTGGGGCTGGGGCTTTACCCAAGAGACAGGTTTTTTTTTTTTAATCTAATAGGGCACCTCCTATAATTGGGGCTTTAAACAGGACACTTCTCAGTGACCTGTGCTTTCAGAGTAACTTCATCTCCCTGCTGTTATCATGTCAAATTCGGCTTTAAGGTCTGGCTCTGGATTCTGGATTGAGTTAAGGGGGTTGACATTGCCAATCAAACAGAGGAAATGAAGTTATTTCCTGGGCACCTAAGAGGTCATATGCAACCTTATTGTCAAAAGACTGACCTCTTCTCCCATCCCCATTTCTATGTCCACAATCTGAGTTTGAAATCAGGTTTTCCATGAACTTGCTATGTGACCTTGTACCTTGACCAGTAAGAATGTACCTTGACCAGTAAGAATGTGAGAGCTGAAAGTAACCCTAGATATCTTGGAGTTGGAGGAATCTTAACCTTTTGTTGTATATAGCCCATGTATAAGCCTGTGTACCCCTTCTCAGAATAATGTTTTTTAATGCATAAGATAAAATATAATAGATAGGATCATTGAAGAAACCAATTATAGAGAAATATAGTTACTAGACTATTAAAAGAATAAGTTCACAGACTCTAAGTTAAAAACACCTTATTAGGTCTAATTAAATCTAAATTTTCCCATTGTGCAAGAGAGACTACTGAGACCCAGAAAATTGAAATGACCTGTCCAAGGTCTTACAGCAAGTTAGGAATTCTGAGTATGTTTCTTCATACATAAAATGAGAGAGGTAATCCATACCTATATCACAAGATTGTTTGGGAGATGAAAATGAGTCACTTAAAATGAGAGATGAATTCTTTTTAAAATTAATTTTTTGCTGGTTTTTAAAAATTATTAATTTTGTATTTTGAATTTAGAAAAAAACAACTAAAATGGTCATTTCTATATAAGTAGAAGAACAGAAAAAGAGGATTGGCATGGAAAATTAGTTCTTTACAAATGTAGAGTGTTTGGGATATAGCATGGGGACCTGGCAGCTTCTGGGAGCATCATGGATTTTGGGCTGAGGGCCACTGCCAGTCAATCACTTGAATTTCTCTCACTCTTGTTTTTAATTGCAGTCCAAGATGAAGCAGAAGCTGACAGTCATATATGATCATATCAATATGGCTTCAAGTGCCTTGAGAGATGTAAAGTTGAAACAACGTGCAGTCCAGGTAAATAGGCAATGCCTTTACCAGTCATCCAGGCTTAGATGACTTATCTCCCTGACTCCCAGCTGTCCCATTTTAATGGAGATATTGACAAATTGAAGGCCTGCCCAGCAGCACCCTTCCAGAATTAGAGAGACCCATGCCTGAAACCTTCTGACTAATTTGAAGATTAAGATTTTCAAATATTTGGAGGTCTCCCATGGGGAAGATGGATTAGATTGATTCTGTTTACAAGGGGAGGGCAGAACTAGTGATTAGAAGAGGCATAATTCAGCTCCCTGTCATTCCAGTCCACTAATAAGAACTTTGCACCAATTAAAGTCATCTCTCAATGCAACTGGTTGCTTTGTGAAGCATTAAGTTCCCCATCCCTGGGTGTGTTCCAACAAAGTCCCAAAGACCAATTTTTGGAGATTGTTGTAGAGTGGGGAAGGTTGGATTTGATGACATCTAAGGTCCTTTTGAACCCAAAGATTCTATGCTTCTCTAGGACTTACAAGTCATTCTAACCTTCCTTGAGAGCTAAAAATCAAAGTTGAGCTTGGAAATCCTAGTTACATATCAAATATGGAATCATTTCAATCATTGATTTAAAAGGTAACCTTGGACCCAGTTCCCCCTCTGCCTGCTAAGTAGAAATGTTGACAAATTGGGGGGGCTTGCCCAAAGGTTCACATCCAGGATTAGAGGGACCTAGATTCCATTTGCAATCAGAGGGCAGATGTAGCCCTTTGCTTATGTTAGGTTATCTAGCACTCCTCTGGTGAAATGACGGTGATGGGATAGGAAAAAAGCTCTGTAGAAGCACTGGGACTGTCCCATCTTATTTAAAGCCACTCCAAATCAAAATCTTTCTTCGGATCCCTTAGGATACAGCAGCTAGAAAGATGGACTTGTTGAAACATGAATATGAAGAAATGAAAGCCCTCATCGAATCAGAAGAGAAGAGTTCTCTGAGGAAGCTGAAAGAGGAAGAAAAGAGAGTTTTGGACAAATATGACCATGTTCATCAGGTCCTGCAAAAGAAAAAGGGGGAAATTGAGTCTATAAAAGAAGAGATTGAACTTTTGCTCACAAAAAATGATGAGATTGCCTTTTTGGAGGTGAGTCCTCATTGAGTAGATCCACAAGGGCTATATTGAATGCCTGCCTTGCCTCTTACTGGGCCAACTGTTCCTCTGATTCCCTCCCCTTTCAGGAGTATCACTGTTGTTGTTCTGGACCTGTGATTTCATCAGAGCAGGGAACTCCCAATGTGGAAATTCCCAGTGTAGATGATCTATATTTTAGCCTCAGAGAGTTGCACTGAGAAGTATGTGTCAGGGGAAGGCTAGCTCTCTGGACATTTTCTATTATATGTTGTCTTTTCCCATTGTAATGTAAACTGCTGCAGGGCAGGGACTGTCTTTTTTCTTATATTTGTATCTCCAGCCATAGTACCTGGCCTTAAATGCCTGTTTCCTTGTTGTACCTCACTGCCTCCCTAGCCATTATAGGGTGGTAAAAGTCTACGAGAACATGGAGCCTGCCTTTCTTTAAAAAAAAAAAAAAAGTTTTATTGATGCTTCTTATATTTATTCCACCATCACTTCAATACCCCCTCCATTTCTCCAGATTGAACCCTCCTTTGTGACAAAGAAAAAGCAGTTAGTAAATGTACCAGTTATGAACAGCTTGGTGGCACAGTGGATAGACCACTGGGTTTGGAGTCAAGAAGACTCATCTTCCCGAGTTCAAATGTGGCCTCAGACAACTTACTAGCTGTGTGACCCTGGGCAAGTCACTTAACCCTGTTTGAGACATGATGCTTTTATTTATTTATTCATATCGAGATATCTACTGCCTTCGTAGTGTGGCACAGTGGAAAGATGACTGAATCTAGAGAAGAAAGAGGATGTGCTGGGTTCAAGTCCAAGCTCACCTCTCTGATTTGGGGCGAGTCACATAATCTCTTTGGGCTTCAGTTTCCTTATCTGTAGAGTGATAGGGTTGGACTAGATGGTCTCTGAGGTCTCTTGAAACTCTAAATCTATAAATCTATAATTGTCTATGAGGGTAGCTAGGTGGCTCAGTGGATAGAGTGCTGGACCTGGAATCAAGAGACTTATCTTCCTGAGTTCAAATCTTGCCGCAGACACTAGCTGTGTGACCCTGGGCAAGTCACTTAACCCTGTTTGCCTCAGTTTCCTCCTCTATAAAATGAGTTGGAGAAGGAAATGGCAAATCACTCCAGTGTCTTTGCCAAGAAAACCCCACATGGGGTCATGAAGAATCAAATATGACTGAAAAACGACACACAATCATACCTAATACGGTGACTGACCCTGCTAATGCCTGTTCTATCCTAGTTGTCTTCTGCCTCCCACTCTGCTAGGAGGAGGTGGCTATATTATCTCTTTTAGCAGGCCGGGTGGTGCACTAGATAAAACTTTCAGACCCAGACTCAGGAAGCCCTGAGTTCAAATACAGCTTCAGATACTTCCTTGCTGTGTGACTTTGGGCAATTCACTTAACCACTGTCTCAGTTTCCTCACCTGTAAAATGGTAATTATAATGGTACCTACCTCAGGATTGTTGTGAGGATAAAATCAGATAATGTTTTGAAAGCCCATTGCAACCCTTAAAGCAGTATCTAAATGCTAGCTATTATAATATATTATTATTATTTTTCAGTTACTTAGAGTTCTACTTCCTTTTAATTTTCCTTCCATTTGCATTGTTGTAGATATGTGCATGTGTTGCTCCTGATTTTATCCCTTTCATTCATCATCAGGTCATACAAAACTTTCTGTGTGCTTTTGATTCACACTTATCATTTCTTACTGGACATCACTGTTCCATTGCATTCGTATAGCCTTTCTCCAAACAATGAGTCCTTACTTTTGCTTTCAGTTCTTTGCCACTAGAGAAAAGGCTGCCATGAATGTTTTGTATATGTTGGCCTTTTGTTTCTGATTTTGAATTCCTTGGGCTCATTACCCAAAGGTCTCTGGGTCAAAGGATTTGGATAGTTCAGTCACCTTTCTGGCATAGTTTCAAAAAGCTCTCACCACTCCACCAACAGTGTGTTAGTATGCTTGTCTTCCCACAGCCCCTCCAGTACTGAGTCTTTTTTTTTTTAATCATTTTCTCCAATTTGTTTGATGTGAGATGGAGCCTCATAGTTGTTTTAACTTGAATTCTTCTTACTATTTAGTGATTTGGAGCATATCGTCAAGTAGTTACTTAGAGTCTGCAATTTTTCTTTTAAAAACTTTCTAGCCTTTGACCACTGGTCTATTGGGGAGAAAGGCTTTTGGTATTATATATCTGTGTCCAAATCCTTTGATTTGGAATATTATTGGATAGTCAGAAATGAGAGCTATGAGGAGACGTGTGGGAAAATCTGCATGAAGATGACGTGGCTGGAGGACTCTTCCCTCTTTTCAGTATCTTCCTGGTTTGTCCTCATTCTCATCTACCATCCTTCCCATCTGGCTCAGTGTTAGGACTTTACTCAGGAGCAGCAAATGAGTGTCCTTCCACCTGCACACACATGCCCCTCTACCTTGTCATTATGGGGAGGGAGATCCACAGACTGATTTGTCCCAGGCCCCACACTTCCCTAGCATGGAACTTGGTTCTGTACTCCCCACACCCTAGCAAACTCCCTGCCTACTCTCAGCCAAATCTTTCCTTTCAGTTGTTTTTCTAGGAGTTGGGAGAAGTGGAAGGTCTCCCAAAGTGGTGCAGTTTCACCTGCTTTCCCTTTGTGGCCAAGGTCATGCATGTGCATGAGGGTTTGATTATGTGAGAGATAGTGTGGTACAATGGAAAGAGAGCTGACCCCAAAGCCAGGAAGATCTGGATTCAGGTTCTGCCCCCCCCAACTCATCCTGGTTATGTGACTTTGGGTGAGTCAGTCAACCTCTCAGGGCTCTAGGCGACTCTAAGCCTATAAGTTGCAAAGCAGGTGCTGATCTGTATCGGTGGAAGATTTTCTTTAAGCAGGAGTTCTCTATACCTGTGAAATCCCAGGCTCAGTCCCTGTCCTTATCCCCCTGGCTCAGGTTCAAGGTGTCACCTGTGATACAGCAAAGTCACCTGGACCTGAAAGGATGACCTCTGGGATACTGGGCAACTTGCTTTTTTCTCTGAGCTTCAACATCCTTGGTCAAATTCAATTCAAGAAACATTTGGTCGGGGTTATGGCTACCAAGATGACAATGCTTGCTCTCAGTGAGTTGGTAGTCTATTGCATGGGGGGAGGAAGATATATATTAAAAAATGAGTGTAATTGGAGGTTATCTGAGGAAGGAGACTAGACTGACAATGGAGGGATCAGGGAAGCTTTCATGGCAACTGAGCTGAGCCTTGAAGGAAGTCAAGGATGCTGAGAGGAGAGTGGAGGAGGGAGTGCATTTAAAAGAAATATATTTTATTGCTGTTCTTTTACATCCATGTCACTTCCCACTGACAGCCTCCCCTGTAACAGATCAGAATATTGCGCAAAATACAATGGCCAGATCAGAATATGCTTCCTGTATTGCACACCTCTGGTCCAGTAACTCCTGGAGGAAAGATGAGACTCATACTTCACCCACAGCCCTCAGAGGTCATTTTTGATCGCTACTTTGATCTGCCTTTTGGAATCTTACAAAGTGCCCTCCCCTTCCTTTACATGGTCCTGCTTATTTCATTGGGCTTCTCTTTAAGCATTGGTCATTTCATACAGCTCATTCATAGTTCCATTTCATTCATACTTGACATTTCATCTCCTGCCTCCTCCATGTTTTTATGAATGACTAG